GCCTAAATAGGTACCTGTGTTTTGAAGAAAGCTAAAGGTCTGTTTAAAATGTAAGCAAGTGGCTTCACAGCTGAAATGCATCGTGATTGATTATTCTGCTGTTGCTGAAGGTGCAGCTAATACAGCTATTAGCGGAGGCTTGACCTTTTATAGTGAATGTGCTTTTGGGAGGTGTGGAGTTGAGTTGTGTTTCTGGTCTTCTGCTGCCTCAGGTATTATTCAACTGTCGTTTCTTCCATATGTGTACAGTAGATGTTGGCTGCCGATGTTGCAGATGTTGATGTGGTGTGCTGTGCTGTTTGCTTGGTTGGGGTCCATCTGCCTCAAGCGTGCACACCAGTACAGGGGGTGGAGTGTGGTCACAGCTCTCTCCATGGCAGTCTGGTAATTGGGCTTATTTCAGCAGTTTCTTATTTATTTCACGTTATTGAGACTTTAAGAGGAAATGGTCCGTGTTTTCCCATTGTACTGTAACTAGTTTATTCCCTGGGATTTCAGGAAAAAGGAGATATTGTGTGTGCCCCAATATCAATGTGCTTACAGACCAGCCTGTGTTTTGCTATAAGGTGGTTTTCTGTGATTTGTAGGACACATTGGTGCTTCTTATAATAGGATGTGCAACTAACCATCTACTTGAAACTATTTTCTGGTGAATTAACTTTGCTTTTTATGTGATTGTTATCTCTGTAAGGCCATGTAATATTGAAATGAATTCTGTCAGACAGCTCCTGCGTGTTCTAATCATCAAGATAAACTTATTTTTATTAGGTTGCCTGTGAACAAAGCAGAGATAACTGTGACACTTATCTTCAACCACTGCGCACGTGCTGTCATGTAACACTACCCGTGTGTAAGCATCAGTGTCCCCAGACCTGTAGTGCTGTCAGGGTGGACTTCTGTTCAAGTCGATGCAATTTCAGTTGCCTGAGGCAAGCAGATAACCAGGCTTGACCTCCCAGTCACAGCTTTTTCAAATAGAAGTTTTCTGTAGAGATTTTGTCTTAAAGGCCTTAGTTTTTCAAAATGGAAACATTGCTTAATGTTTGCATAGAGGACACCCCCAGTTGGTGTCACGATTCCACAGTCTCATACAACGCAGGTGGCAGAGATACGTTTCTGTAAAAGGATAACTAATTTCTTACCAGTGGGCTTTCAAGGGCTTTTGGTGGCAGATGGCCACCCTCAAATAAAGGCTGAGGAAAGAATGAACTTCATAGTCATTGCTTCACAAGCTGGCCTGGTTCAGGTGTGAACTCAGGAAATAAGATACTCCTGAGGATTTTGGAAAAGTTCGTGAAAGCTTTTGGAAATTCTCAAAGGTTTTTATCCAGAAGGAAAATGTTAGGTTTGAACGTGTAGTTTGCTGGCTTTAGCTGTTGCGTGGTGGCTAGGAAACAGGGACAGGTGAGCTGAAGCTTCAGAGGTGATGTGTCCTTTCATACCTCATCTCTGCTTGCGAGAAAAATAAATTAAGTAGAAGGTAAACCAGCAGTTGATATTTGATTCTTCCTTTTTTGCAATAGAAGATTCATAGCCTTTAATTTTCTGTAAAATCTTTAGTATTTGAGGATTTCAGAAGAACGACAAGTACTAGGGGGGAAAAAAAAAAAAAGAGTCTTGTAACACCCTCGTTTTATAGAGGGCAACAGAGGCACGAAAAAGCAACTGATTTCTCGGCTTTACCGCAGACAAAGCACAGAGAAGAGGTGGCAATAACCAGGATCCCTGACTAACAGAAACACTAAGGCTGAAGATAATTTATAGAGATTTCGTAAACAAACTAACTTGTCTGTAAGCAAAGAATGGTGCTGCTGTTGTAACTGTTCTGAAATGGTACTTGTTTCTTGAAATGGATATTAATAGTCCAGGGGAATGAGTGTTGGGTCAGGGAATTGCACCCTACAGTTCTGTCCTTCTCAGTAAACCTGCCAGTTCTCTTTGTCTTTGATCATAAACTCCTTTTGTGCATATTATATACCAAATAGAAGTCGCAGAGAGATGGATGATTTGAGTCAAACTTAATGATGACAGTTTCATTCCTGAGCATGGCAGCATATTTATTTATATCTACATACATAAATATCTGTGTATAAAAAAAATTAAAAATTACTTTTGTTTTTGTCTTTGAGAGTCCCCTTTCTTGTGCTTCTCATTTTCAGCTGAAAGGGAAATTGTCAAAATAAGATACGAGTTTGAGATTTTTGTCTCGCTCTCCCCTCTTTGGTGCTTTGGAATGATACTGTTTGTGACTCCTTTCACTTGTTTCACAGCGTCCTTCTCTTCCAATCTTTGATTGTTGTCTAGTCAGGTAGTATTTACTATAACATTAAAGCAAAAGCAGGTTCTGTTTGATGTACTTGAATGGGGGATTTTGGAAAGCGATGTGTGCAAGAAAGCCGTGTTCTTTGCAAATTAGTCATAATCTCTTCTGATTTTAAACAAAACGTGAGCCCGCTTTCCACGCTCGCTTCCCAATGCGAACACCAAGTGCTCCAAAGGATGATCTCTTCTGAGGGAGAAGGAAACCCAAGATAACTCACTACTGACAGAATCTTAAGGATTTTTCCATCCGGACTAAAAGATTTTTGTACCTTGACAGAAAATCAATGCTTTCTCATTCTTATTAGGCCTGTAGCAACATCATCTATAGACATCTCTACACCAGGGAAAACTTCATTTGAAGTTCCCATCGTTGCAGCCATATTGCTGCTAAAAAATCTTGGGATTCCTCATGCAGACGAGGTTCCCTTAGTCCTTCTTGTGCTAGCAGCATCAGGATGTCTCGTGAAGGGCAGGTTCCCATGGTCAGATTTGGTGCTAACTGTTCAAATTATATCAGCTCAGAAGAACCTGACCTCTGCTTTAAGTACGGCTGTGGGAAAGCAGCTTTGTCAGTGCTAAATCTTTCAAATTGCCAGCATCTGTACATCTGCAGGAGTGGTAAATACAATGATTTACATTACCAAAGTCCTAGAACAACATGGCAGAGTATAATCTCTGGTGTATTTTGGCAAACCACGTTTGTTACCACTGGGAAATCTTCTGTTTATACTTGAAGTGCCGAGAAGGTAATTGACTAATTTTGGCAATTGTTTGAGTAGGAATGTTCTTGTGTGTACACGAGCCTATCGCAAAGGCATTCTCGTTATAGTTTGAATACAAACACATGAAAGCTAATGGCAATAACTAATAAAAGTAGTAAGAGGAGGGAGAGATTATGGGAGAGGGCGTCTCTTAAAAGAAAGCATCGTTCAACTGCCTGCTGAGCACTTCCCTGGAGGGTGGCTCGATACTTTTTTGTGGCTGACCCAGCAGCGTGAGCACCGTGAGACCAGGGTGGCAAGAATCAGGCTGTGGTACAGTTTCTTAAAAGATGAAGGAGAGAACAGGCGGTCCTTGAAGAAGCCTGGCATTCAGAATATGTTAGGCTTCTGAAAATTGGCAAGGAGCTGAAGTAAATTACCAAGCAGAGCTAGGGACCAACGTAAACTAACAAGTATAAATGTAAGCCTGAATTTATCGGCTAAAGCCAGGCACATTTGTGTGAGAGTTTCTTGCTAAAAGCGAAGAGTGAGCGAGTGATACATCGCTTTGATGCTCTTTAAAAGAAAATGGTTGCAATCCATATCATTTTGCTGTCAAATGTATTTGAAAAATAGGAAATGTATGTTGGATATATGTTCTGCAAACAGTTATCCACAGTATTCCAGAAGTATGTGGTTTGAAGGGTTCCTTGGAACCCACCATTCAAATCTAAATGTGTCCTGAGTTATCTTGAAATTGGCTGCCATTCTGTACTATGGCAAAGTGAAGACATTGCAGAGGTTAACTTTAGCCTGGCGAAGCCTTTGATCCTGTTGCTCTCAATGGAGAGGCTCTTCCAAAGGTCTGAATTCAGAGTCTGTAAAAATGAGCCTTTTTCTTGTGTTTTAGAGGCACTACCTTTCTCTGTGGTCTATAGAAGGCTAAATTTAGTCCGTAGTCCTTTGAACCCCTCTTATTCACTGGTGTATTTAAGCAAATCCTTAATTCCAGAAATGCATACTTTTAGCTCTCAGCGTATGGATACTAGCCCGATGAGTGCAGTTGCATAAATTAAGACTACCAAGAAGGGTTCCACATTCTGATTTTTTTATTATGTCTGTTGTCCTTTGTATGGTTTTAAGAAATTTCCTTGCATCCTCCTGATTCCACTGAGCAAAACTGTAAATCCACAGTGCAAAAGCGTAGACTCTTCAGGTGTTCTTTTTGCAATCCTACTGCATGAGGGAAGCTCCTGGTAATTGCAGGAAGAAGCGAGAAACTTCAGGGTCAGGTAGCTCACCACCTCTAACTGATGCTTTACTAGAACAAAATGTAGCAGGAGAGTAAAGTGCAGGAGCTGCAGCAAATTAGGCTCAGTGGCAGCAGTTAGAGTTGCTGGATGAAAGGAAAATATGGCCCATTTGTCTGGGAGCCTCTTTGGGGTTCGATGGCATGAACGGTGCTCTAAAAATGTAAAATGTTATTACATGCTATTAGGGAAGGAGTCAGCTCAGCATGCATTAGAGCAAGTGGTTGTGACAACTGAACTGTGTATTTAAAGGGCATGCTGTTAGGGCCCCTCTTGTGTTCACTTACCTTGTATTTATGCTTATTGCTGTTGGTGATGGACGGTGATGGACGGGTTAGTCTTTGCAGCAGATATTTTTCTGAGATAATCTTCTTCATGTGTTTTTTGTCATAGCCGTACTTTGCCTCCTCGTGGATTCTTTTTTCCCTGCTTTTGGACCTGAATAATTTACTGTCACCACGCACGTGTTGTTGAGTTTTGTAATTGAAGCAGACCCATAGCTGACTCGCACACCAAACTCCCAGCATTCAGCCGTTGTGGCGACCTTGTTATTCCACTTGCTTTTCAAATGCCCCATCATCACACTGAAAAGCTCACTGTCTCTCTTGAATTTTTTTTTCCCCTTTTTTTTTTTTCCCCTTTTTTTTTTCCCCCCCCCCCCTTGTAGAGCATGATGAGTGTGGCAGCGGACAGCATAACTGTGATGAGAATGCAATCTGTACTAACACTGTCAGGGGACATAGCTGCACCTGCAAACCTGGATATGTGGGGAACGGGACCATCTGCCGAGGTAAGTCTGTTACTCTAGAAACACCATGAAAGTGGCAGACTCCATTAATACTTTCTGACAGTCACCTACGTTCTGGTAACTTGTGATGGCTGGATTCTGTCAATGATTTGCTGTAACATCTATCATCTGGCAAATGGAGTATGCATGGAGTTGATGGGAATTGATTTGTGCATAACTTCTCGGCAAGAAGGAAATATTTTTTGGAATGCTAGAAAAAAAGAACTTTTCATTTGCTGTCACCAAGTACTGTCATTTGAGGTAGTATCATTCAGCTTTTAAGTTATGTTCATTGTTTTATAAACTGTGGATGGTATGTGCTATCACCTTTGGCTTTTAAAATTTAATCAGATGCCTTTTAAATTGGGATAATTGTCTTTTATGCTAACATCATATGGTTGTTATTTGACTACTCACACCAGAATAGAGATTTTATTTTTTTAAAACTTTACCTTTAAATGTGTACTTTGAAGGCTTCTCAGATATGTAAACAAGAAAAACTGGTAGCCAGCCATGCCTTCTGTGAAGGGGTAGGTCATTTATTTAGGGTGGGGTTTTTTGTTTTTGTTTCAGTAGAGAAAGAGAAGCAAATATCTTGCATAGAGACAGAGGAGGATATTTATTAAATAGTTGGCTTAGTGAGGGCTATGTCATGAAGTACTATTGAGCTGTAACTCGTGTTTATGAATTATTTGTCTCGTAAAAAGCTATTTTTTGTCTTGCCTAGGACTGCGTGCTTTCTGACTTTCTAAACAGAATTGCAGTAATAGAAAACTAACTTTTTTTTTTCTTTCAATGACAACTATTTAAATTGAGGAATGTACTGGGTAAAATATTCTGTACGGTTTGGGGGCATAAGAGGCTGGATATTAATTTTTCAGAATGTTGTAAATTGGCCAAGCAATTCCTTAAAGGAGAAAGAAGATTGATGTCATTCCTGTTTCAAGCTTAAGTTCTTCACCAAGATTAGCCTGTCAACTGCTGAATTAGCATATACCGTCTGACTGCTTTTTGGTATGACTTTCTTTGGGTACTGTCCATCCGAGAGCATCCCTATATTGAAAACTGTAAAATGGTTTGTAAAGATTTAAGAAGGAATACAAAAATGTTATGAAAATGGTGGGCAAGTTAAACCTTCATCTGTCTATATTGAAGGTCAACAGGTGATACTGGCGACAAATTTATTGTAGTATGTTCTCAGTCTTTGATTACAGTAAATGTAAATTGCAGCACAGACAGCTATAGTTTGAGGGAAGTCTGAGTGAACAGCCTGTCTGTGATACCTTTTTTTTTTTTTCTGAGGGTAATACAACATGACCATCTCTTAATCATATTTCTTTGAAACAGGAATGTTTGGATTAGTTCATAAAAAACATGTTTTCACATTGGTTTTTGTCATTGGCACACCTGGATATTTGGTTTAATGTGCCAAAAACTCAAAGTGAAACTCCTATTGCATATTTATTTGTCTAGTAACGTTGAACTAATGAAATTGCACTGGAGAAATGCAATAATGTTTTTACCCTGAAAGTTCTGTTGACATCCGAGTTGTGGATAAAATATATATTACATATATTTTTTAGTATGCCTTGAATTGCACATGCGAATGTAGTTATAGTTGCTTTTTTGAGATAGATGTACATGGAAATAGAGGAACCAAAGTGCATTCTTATATTCTGACTGGGAAGCATAAATTGAAAAAAACGGAGATTGTAGAAAGGGGTTTGCAGTCTCATAATTATGAAAGTCACTAGGGATAAGAATAATCCGGCACTGCATGGAATAGTTACTACTGCAAACCAGCTAATATTAGAATCGTGCGCATTTCAGTACATAATGAAACACGCAGTGTAATATAGTAGTCTGAGTTTCTCAGCCTGTGGTCGCTTGAGGTTTTTACAAGTCTGGAGTGCCAATTTAAGAAATGTTCCCGTTCTGCCCATGGTAGCACCAGAAACACCGCTTTTGCCTCTTTTTTTACCAAGTTTAATGGTGGTACCTTATCAGTTACCAGTCACAGCAGTTTCCTTGCGCAAATGCTAGGGTTGGCACAAGGAAAGAGGTGTGAACGTGTCGGGACAACTATAAACAGCTTATGTTGTCTTGTAGTAATATTTTGGGGTTTTATCTTCAGGCAATGTAGATTGGAAAAAAATCGATATAAGCCAAGGTGGTAAGTTTAATGTAGTACCATCTGAAGATATGATAAACATTTCTCCTTGAGTCATCCGTAAGTGCTTTATAAATGTTTACATGTTATAGATGTGCGCATACACAAAACAGTTGTTCCGACTGCTTCCGAAATAACCTATCTCTGCAGTTCAATAAGAAACCTTGCTAATATTGTCCAACAAAACCATAAATAGAAAAATAGTAATTTCATGATGAGAGAAAAGGACTGGCTTTGTGCCTGATTCTACAATCTATTTCAACAATCTATTTTAGCAATGTTGTAAAAAATAAAATCAGAGTAATGTTCCTTTTTGAATTTACTGGATAACCCTGTGATAGACTTTATAATAAAACCAGAATGCTGTTACTTGTATTTTAGAAAAGAAGATGTATGTGTAGTTAAATTAAATTGCATGGTGAACTACTGGTAAACATAATGAAATGACTCTGGCAGGACTTTGTGATGTTTGCGTTTTTTGTGAAAAGTTATGGAGAAATAAAAAGGACAGAAATAATCTGGATATGAATATTATGATTTCTGGGGATTTAGAAATAAAAACAAAAAACAAATGTTGGAGAGGAAAGCAAATATTTTAAAAAAAATCTGTATAATCAGGCTGTCATACTTGAGTAGAAAAATAAATTTCATGCATAAGGAATTGCTTTACTGTAAATGTGGTAGACTAGACTATGTAATTAAGGACTGGATTGTGTCAAACTAGATGTGGAAACTGTCATGAAGGAAGGTGGCGGAAAAGAGCGCAGACCGAGACCAAATGCACTTCTGCATTAAAATAGATACTGCCATAGTTTAAGTGACATAAAAATGGAAAGAGAAGCGGAGATGAACACAGGAAAATCTTTATAAATACGTAGTTACCAATATCTAGACTGCGAGACCGTATAATAGAGACAAATAAGACTTATTTACTATGGATGCTCTCAATTTCACTGTAAGAAGTGGGCTTTAGCACCTCAGAAAGACACTGAAATTTTGGCAATAGATCAGAACAGAATGAGGCTGAGATGAGCTGAAATGACAAGGCAGGACAATGCTGTGCCATCACCATTAGTAAATTTGACAGAATACCGGACCCTGAATCAGATAGATTATATCTTAGGATTTCTTCAGAAAATGAAAAGTAAAATAGGGAGATCTTTGCCAGAAGAAATTACGGCATTAAAGGCAGAGGACAGAGGTATAACTAGTTGAATAGAGATTCTGAATCTACAGATTTGTTAAGTTGCTCTTTTCTCTGAAGGAAACTTTGAAAAAATTCAAAAGAACTAAGAGTGATTTGGGAAATAGAAGAAGTTGTAGGTGGGTAACAGAAGACTCATGCCGTGCCCTTTTACTTGAATTATGTACGTGAAATACAGAATTCATAGGTGAGGGTGCAATAAGGACAATTGGAGCAATTTCACTAAACTTCAGGATAGGATTTAATAGTGCACCATAAAGGCAAGTAATTTAGGGTAGAAGGGAAAGGTAATAAAAAATGGTTTAGCAACTGAGTGTTCTAGTTGTTTTAAAAAAAAAAAAAAAGGTGTGGGGGGCAAATGACTACCTGGTACAACATGGCACTTTGCAGTGTGCCTGTCAAGATGGACCTTGTAGGAAATCAGTGTTTAGTGGCAGTGGTTAGATGAAAGAAGTTTTATTTTCCTAGGACAGCTAGGTTTATGAATAACCCGTCACCTGTAGACAGGGTTGTGTGTGTGAGAGTAAAGCTCTGTCATGTATAAAATGAGTAAAACTCCCTGTCGTGACTCTAGCTGAAGAACTAGGGATATTGAATGCAGAGACAAATACCATATTTGGACTATAAAGGCTCTTGGTGTGTGGACCGTTGCAGTGTTTCTGCGTGAAATCTTAGCGGGGCTGGAAAATGCGTACAGGGAAAACATCGTTCTCTGCTTTTTGCCTTGATAAGTTCTAGTTCCAGTTCCGCTTGGCAGCCTTGCACCACACGCTGTGGATGTGACGTGTTGAAGTGGGATGCGGCGTTTGTTAAAACATCAAGGACCTCGTGCTCCACCATCTACTTTACCGTAGCGAGATGGAAGCTAGAGAATATTTGCTGTGGGACATACAGTCCTACGGTTTAGCAGAAGTTTATTATAGAGCTTGCGCCTTGTACCACAGACTGAAATCAAAGAAAGGAGCTAAGGTATATTGAAACATCAGCAGGTTTCCTAAAATAATTGATGACTTTTGGGATTAAATGCCTTCAAACAAACAAACAAACAAAACCCCACCCATGAGATTTTGTAGGGACTATAGATCTGACTTTTCAGCGCGAACAATGCACAAGTCACCATCAAGGTTTTGTTGCAATCGGTTGTTTTCTTTTGTACAAGGAGACCTACGTGTAGTATGCAAGCCTTGTCCTAGCTGTTGGTATTTTGTTCCAAATGTTTGTTTTAAAGTATAAATTCTGCACATAGAAGTCCTTACATGTTCAGAAAAATAGAAGTAGCCTTGAATATACTCCGGTGGTAAACAGGAGTAATTCTTCTGAAACACAGACAGGGTGTGTTTGTTAATCTTTTTTTTCTTATATCTCTGTAGCGGGCAACGAACAGAAGGCCAGCACTTAAGTGCAAATATTTTTCATTGTACTTCTATATTTTACTTGTGTAGTCTGTCTAACAGGTATATTTAGTGTGCTATTAATATCTCATTTAGTGGTTTCTACTGAAGTGTAGATTTATTAGAATGATTAAATGAGGTGGATTTAGTTACAGTCATAAACCTTAAAACAAATGTGTGAGATATGACTGATGCCTGGGCAGAGAAACATTAGGTATTGTGAAATAAAAATCAAACC